CTGTTTTTTCTCGTTTTTCTTTTCTTAGGAATACGTGCAGTGGCCCTAAGGGCCTCTACTCACCACATGCACAAAAGACAGAACATATGGTGGCGTATTATTCCACGTTCTAGCAGAAGATTCATTCTAATTCTGCACATTTGCAGTGGCCCTGAGGGCCTCTGCTCACCACATGCACAAAATACAAAGGCCTAGCTCAGTTGGTAAGGCACAGAAGTTGCATTCAGGAGGTCGTGGGCTCAATCCCCATTGGCCTCACAATGTGCCCGGGCAAGCTTGGTGTTCTACCAGCTACAGATAACCTGTTGACCCCCCAAGCCAGCATTGGCAGGACCTTGGCTGATGTTGTTGGCTGCTATGCAGCGACAATATTGGTCATTAGACACTGCCATGTGGGGTTGGGGGGGGGGTAGGGGCAGGCGCAGTGACTGGCCATTTTTCTCGGTCACGTGCCCCAATGCGCCATGTCGCTCCGCGACTGGAAAAAAAAAAAAAAAGAACAGCCCCATGGTTGGGCCACGACCGAGATGTCTCGGCCACACCCCTGACTCGCCATGGCTGAGATGTCTCGGCCATACCCCAGATTGGCCAGGGCTGAGGTGTGTGTGTGTGTGTGTGTGTGTGTGTGTGTGTGTGTGTGTGTGTGTGTGTGTGTGTGTGTGTGTGTTTGTGTGTGTTGTGTGTGTGTGTGTGTGTGTGTTTATGTGTTTGTGTGTGTTGCGTGTCTGTGTCTGTGCGCGAGTGCGTGTCTTTTCTTCCTTTTTTTTTTTTTTATGGTTTTGATTTTTTATTTAAATACACAAAGTTAAAAAAAAACAATTTTTTTTTTTTTTGTTGTGCATCTTTGAAAGATCTACAACCCTGTATTTTTTATTTATTTTTATTTTTTTGTTTTAGCCCTTAAAAAATCTCTGTGAAACCCAAAATAAAAACACTCATTCACTTTCTGTTTTTTTTTTTTTTTTTTTTTTTTTTTTGTTTTTGATTTTTTAAAAATATATTCAGACATCCAAAAATAAAAAGAAAAATATGGGGTTGTAGTCCTCAAAAAGACCTACAACTCCATAATTTTTTTGTTGTTTTTTGGATTATATTTAGTCCAGAAAAAAATCATTGCGGGCCCCGTTCATTCCCGTCCAACGCACATTTGAACGGGAATTGAACGCGAATTGAACTCGCATTCAATTTTTCAACGTGGAACCCGCGTTGAATCCATTTTCGGACACACAACCGACCGGGAGTTTTCGTTCGGATGAAATACATGTCCGTCTTTTCGGAGAATGCGTCAGTCAAAGAACCGCAGATCCACGTTTGGGAATCTCCAATGAATACTATGTATGGCTTCGGGTCATGACCTTGTCCCCGAGGGACCCTGAATGTAACCAGATCTGGACGGGTTGTCAGACCTCGTGCTTGAGGGAAAAGGAGCGAGAGGTGTGAGAGGCAGTAATTGAAAGTAGAAACTATATGGCGCACGTGTGGTGCAAAGCCCGAGCTATCCATCTCAACACGCTTCTGTCTGTCCTCCGACGCCCTGGCTTTCCTGACGCGCAGCTGATTGCACTGAACACGAAAGTGTAGAGCCTTCATCGCAAACATCGCGTCTCTCTCCAGCACCAGCCGTATGTTCGGATCCCGGCGAACTTCGCTTTTCCACAATGCCTTCGAACCGACTGTGTGTTTCCTTACGCCCCTTCGTCGGACCCCCACCTTCACTAGACCTTGTACGTGCATGTGGACCTCCGTTGCATCTCGGGTTCCGGTAACCGCACAAGTGCGGATTTATATTGCTCTGTCGTTTTTTCTCGCGGCCTCATGCGACAACGACCCGTGTCCGCCCTTGCCCAGACGACTCGTTTCGTCTGCGCTCGGATGTGGGCGGACTTCGCCTTCTCAACCAGCCTGTCAACTAAGTGCGGCCTGTCTCTTCCAAGCGCCCCCTCCAGAAGTTCGGATCCCAGCGAACTTCGCATTTCGGGTGATGCGTGGGTGTGTCAAAGGCCGCTCTGCGGTTCGTCGAGTTGCGTGAGAAAGCGACTGCAGTCCAGGTAATTCACGGACCAACATATGGATCCCGCATGTTATCAGTTCTTGGGGCAGTCTTTCGAGATGCTCAACCGCAACTGGGGTCAGGTTTTGGGACCTTCTTGTCGGATGTGGGTCTGTTTCGAGCAGAGTTTCGCACTCCACAAACAGAACCCCCCCCCTTGGATCCCGCAGGTTATCAGTTGTTCAGGCAGTCTTTCAGGATGCTCATTCGCAATTGTGGTCAGTTCGGTGGACCTTCTTGTTTGATGTGGGTCTGTTCCGAGCGGAGTTTCGCACCTCGCGAACGGAACTGCCCTCCGGCACGGTTTCTCGCGTAATGGCATTTGCACACTGTCTGCCAGTCAGTTGATTCCCAATGATGCACAATCACTGTGCACAATTGTCGACCATTATGATGCTTGTATGATAGAAAGTTCACCGACATCCGAACTACGCGAACACGTCTTTTTCTGTCGGAACTTCATGCACCGTCTGCCTCGGATTCTGGTGGAACAAGGTCGGACCCTGTCAAATGGCCCATCAACATTTGCTGAAGTCCGCCGGAATCCGGACATCGCTCATGATACATATTCTCCGATGGTAGAGCGATTTTCTATAGTAACCACATGTCCCCGCAATCTCTCGGCCTGGAATTTTCCAGTCCGGAAGAACAAAGGAGGTCCGCAATATGAGAAACGTGCGCAATCTTGACCTCCGATGGACGAAGTTCGCCGGAATCCGAACTTATAACATATGCTATGAAGAGTTCTAAAGCTGCCCGTTTGCACGCTAACTGTCGACAACCACCTTTCCCCTCTACGCTGTTCACTCGCCGCCAGTGCAACTGCTTTTCCCTGTGCGGTGTTCTGCTTTTCTATTTGCCTGGCTTGTCGTCCGCTGGTATCCGAAGTTCCCCATTTGCTGATTGTTGGCGGTGTTGTTTGTTTTCGAATGCATCCTCCGCTACGTCTGGTGCAGATATAATGTCTACGTCAAGAGGCGAGGAGCAGCCTACAGGGACCTCGGGGAGGGAGTCGACGAACGCGAAATCGTGGTCGAATCATGCGCACACGAAGTGGTTCATCGATTGGTGCTTCACCAAAGATGACGAGCCCATGAAACTGCCTTGCGGTCCTGTCATCTTCGTGGAAGATAGAAAAGGACGAAGAGTGCTCGGCTCGGTCAAGGGATGGCAGCCATCGAAAAACCACGACAAGAAGTGCTACCTGATGCATGTCGTTTACAATTCGAAGGAGGACGTTCTGGCACGTGCGAAAGGGGCGATTCTCTCGTGGGATCTGTTCCAGGGGTTTGGTGGCGGGGCTTTGAGGACCCCTTTCTACACTAAAGTCGCAGAGGGAGGTCTTGTTTCGGCCAGGGAGTTTTTTGATGAGGTCGAGAAGAGCGACTTCAACCTCGACGATCCCTGCCAAATTTTGAGCGACCTGGAACTGTCGCTTCCTATGCAAATGTGCTCCGGGTTCGTTTCCAGTGGTTCAGTACAGCCCCGGCGGGGTGAGGAAATGGGTTCCGGTGGTTCAGTACAGCCCCGGCAGGCAGGGTGAGGAACGTGGTCGCTTCGATGACAGCGAGGAGGAAGAAGAGGAGGACACATGAGTTTTGCCGCAAAGACTCGGAGATCGCGGGACGCTGAGAATTCCGGGGGCTGAGAGAGGGGCAACGATCGTCGAGCAACCGTCGACGACGGGTGGCGGTCGCGGCTTGGGGTCGGAGGACAGAACAGTTGGCGTCGTTTCCGGCGGGCAGGGAGGGGAACAGCAGTCTACACAAAAGAGAAGGGGAGGTTCTGAGGGGGAGGCGTTGGGAGTTAAAAAGAAGCAGAAGACCAAGACCCCACAACAATTAGGGGGGGAAAGGAAGGGAGTTGAGGGGCATGTCAGCGCGTCCAGTCAAAAGCGCCCGGCCTCAGCTCAGAAGCCACCCTAGTCGGCCCCTGTCCAGCTCAGAGATGTCATCGACATCGACGCGGCATACTTTCTGGAATGGAAAAACGACGTGCGAACAAAGCGGGAGTTCGCCATTAACCCGTCGCAAGTCATCGACATCAGCGAGTGGGAGGCGGCATACAACCAGCGTTTTTTGGATCCCGTGCAAATACAGGCCATTATTGACGCAATGACGACGGCCTACTCTCAGACCGAGAAGACTTACGAGCTGCCGACACTAAAGCTCGCGCCTCTCGGGCTGGTTAAACCGACGCCCGGGGTGCGGGCGGATCGTCTGAAGCCGGAGGACTGGAAGGACGAGCTGGCAGGGCAATACTACTACTACGTTGTGGCGGGCCAGCATAACGCGGCTGCGGCCAGGGCGCTGCTTGGCACCGATGTGGCGGTGAGGTACAACTTCGAGCGTTCGCCTGTACGAATGGTGTACTTCTCGGACAAGGACTTTGAGGGGTACTTTCTGGTTAGCGCCGAGGACAACAAGAAAGACCTGAAGGCCCCTCCGAGACAGCTGAAACTCTCCATGAGAGACATTTGGTGGTGTTGGAAGGAATTAAGTTACCCGAAAGTTGTTATGGGTAACCCCAGCAGGAAACAGGCGCAGGTGGAGGCATGGCGAAGATTTTGTGCGGAGGCACTCCACAGGACGCCGTACAATCACTTGTGGACTCTCGCTGATGACAAGACCGACCAAGGAATCAAGAAACAGAACACTGCCCTTCGATCCTATTTCCCGTCCGCGATGGCAGGGAAAAGCGCATGGAAAACCGGGATGGAATTTTTTGAGAGATGGGAAACGGGCAGTTGGCACCGGAAGGAGCGAAGTGGATCACGAAGAAGAAGAAGGTGCAGGCCCTCAAGCTTGGTGTGAGCCACATCGAAAACAAGAAGGACGGGCAAAAGGTAGTCGTCTACAATGTCCCCGTCGAAAGGCCACAAAAGAAAGGCAAGAAGGAAAAAGAGCCAGGCGATTGGTTCGTCCAGGTCACCGAGCCGGATCCGCACTGCTGGAAGAGCATGGAGGCCCTTACCGACAATGAGAAATGCCGGTTGTTGAAGAAGGTTCTCAACTGCGAGGTGGTCTGGGTGCAGACAGGGTCCTCCGCGTTGGCGAAGCAAGGGTAGTTGGGGATGCACGAGGCAGTGCAACTGATGAAGTGCGATCGCATATTGGTGCGGTTGTGGAACTACTACCTGTTCAAGCATGAGAACCGGCCAGACAGTGACAGGACCACTAAGTACCCCTTCCTGAAAAAACGAGAGGCGATTTTGGCAAAGTTTGAAGGGCAGGGGCTGGATGCAGCGTTGTGGGACGGGAGCAGGAAACTTGTCAGCGACTCCTCCTTGTTCAAGGACTGTCCGCCCTACATGGGCTGCGAGGACGATAAGTCGATCAAGGCGACAGAAAAGCTAGTCCAAAACAAGAAGTTGCCCATCGATTGGAAGAACAAGGTCCTCTCCGTGTTGACCGGCAGCAGGTCGAAAAGCATGGAAGTCGCGCTGGCCGAAGGGATGGTGCACATTCTGTGGAACGACTCAAAGGACGTCACATCTATTGGCCCGTTCGGCGTCGACCCTCTGGATGTGCAGATGAAGGTCGTGGAGTTGGAGAGGGCGGTCGGAATCACGAAATGCCACACGTGCGTTCTCGACTTGTGCGAACCGGTGGACATCAAACAGTGGACAGCTAAAGTCTTCGAGAGTTTGAATGCCCTCCTGGAGCACTTGTTTCCCTCGCACTGGACAGTGGTCGCGTTCGTCCCCCGTGAGCACGACTACTACTTCATGACCAGCCTGCACCGATTGTCCGTCGTGAAGGCAATGGCCAGGAAGTGGGTGAGGAGGACGCAGCAGAAGAAAAGTTTCGGTGTCGGCCACAACTTGTACTCCTTGGACGACCGCATGTACATCCTTTTCAAAGGCGACGACTTGCGGGAGAACACATCTGTTGTCTACAACGCGAGGTTGGCGGCGGGTGATGCTGCCTCGGTGGGGGCACTTCAGAAAGTGACTCCCACTGAGATATCCGACATGTCGTTCGACGCTTGTGAATGGCCCGTCGTGATACATGGGCGTGATCCCGTGGTGTACAAGGGCCATGAGCGGAACCCCACACAATTCGCCCATCTGCTGGAATTCCTTTGCAAAAAGGGGGACAGCATCATGTTCCTCGGGAAAGCGCACACACAAGTTGTGTGGGAGGTTTTGAAGGGTGGTCGCAACGTCATCGCGTTGGAGGGGAATTCGGAGTGGTTGCAATTCATGTTGGATTTCCTGAAAACCGCGGTCAACTCAGGAGCATACCGCTGCGAGTTCATTACGAAGAGTGAGAAGTCGAGACGCGTTTGGGATCCTTCGACGGACATGTGGTTCAAGCTAAGCGCTCGGAAAAGGAGCAGGATCTACGAGTTCCTCTTCTTGGAGAAGCGGCCTGCGAGGGGCACCGACATCGAGTACATGCGCCGCAAGGAACACATGTTGGCACTGCTAGACAACTATCACGGCGCCACATGCCTGAACGCGAAGAACTTCCTGGACCGAATGGAGTTATTGTACTTTGTCGAATCCGAGCCGGTCCTGAGGCTCGAGAGTTACGGTGCCTTGATCGACGCCGACGAAAAGTCCCTCACCGGTGTTGTCTTCGACACCGGTGCACCTGAGGAGGATAGCAACACCAAGGAAATTGACATCGGCTACCGCCTTGCTCCGGTGCTCCCATCCCCGGCCTCCTTGTCGGCGAGTCCCTCAACAAACCGGCCTGCACAAGCGACGCCCGTGCGGAGGACCCCTAGTAAGTTGTTGGCGAGATTGACACCTCGGCCTGCTGCGCCTCCTCCTGTGCGTCTAGGGTGTCAAGTCCCCCTACAACATCCTTCTCGGAAGGATGAGAAGATCCACTTCGAAGGGCACGACCACACGCGTTCCACGGAGGCAAACTGGGGTCATAACATGGTTTGGCACCCGGGGACGATCCAGCCCGCAATTTGGAAGGGGGAGTGGGTCATGGCCATAGTCGACACTGACGGGGAATGGAAGCCGTCCGAGCGCCTGGCCAAGTCCGACTACTTGGATATCGCGAGGAGTGCTGTGGTGGACAAAGTGACGTCAGAGAACAGCAACCTGCAGCCTGCCGACCCGGCCATCATTGCCACTGCTGATCGCTTGTTTCGGGAACTTCATGACAAGTAGTGGTTGGAACTATCTTACGATTTCTACGACCTCGAGACAAGCCCTTCGAAGAAAAAGGTGAACTGGAAAGTACCCCCATCGACAGGGACCCAAGGTAGTGTGGGAGGAGGACCTCCGAGCCCCCCCGGGGCCAGAGGGGTGGGAGGCAGTGGCCACGAGGAAGGAGGTGGCGGAGGCAGTGGCCATACGACATCAGGGGGAAGCGCACCGACATCATCGCCTGCCCCTGGCGGTCAGGGCAGGATCGCGCACAGCGGCGTGGGGGAAGGGGGGGTGAACGTCACACACTCCCCAACAGCAGGGAGTGGCAAGTCGGGGAAGTTCGCCCGCATCCGAACTTCGCAGATGGAGGACCCAGTGCCCGTGGAGGCAGTAAAGTAGGCCGGCATCCACACTTCAATGACTCTGGAGCAGGCGGCCCTTCCTTCGTGGACTGCTTTCGGCTCCTCCAGTGAAGTGGGGCGGGGCTCATGTGCAGGGGATCCTGTCTCCGCCGTGAAGGGCAAGTTCGCGGGCATCCCTACCAGGGCAGACGACGTTCAGGCGAGTGTACCGGTCCAGTGGAGCTCTACAGGAGCACAGGCGTTGGAGATTAACGCCGCCCTGGCTGTGCGGGAGGCGACGCCGCTGGCCCTTGGACAAGGCCGATCTGCGGAGTCACAGAGAGAGATTGCTGGTGCAGCGCCATCCGCCTTCCTTGCGACGAAGTCCGCCGGTATCCGTACTTCGTCCGTGACGTGCCTGCAGTCGAAGGAGGCAGGGACGGAGGAAGGTGCTATGTCTGTTTATACAGACAACCACTCCTTGGGATCCGCCTTGATGCAGCTGCAAGGAGCCGAGTCGCGTGAGACTGACGGGGGGGAAGAATGGGTGGAAGTCGAGGGCGGGGAAGAAGGGGGAGAATGGGAGGAGGGGGGAGAAGGAGACGAAGGGCGAGAGAAGGAATTGATTACATTGCGTGACGGGGAAGACGGTGAAGAAGGAGGACTCAGTATTATAGACGAGGAAAGGGTGGATGCCGGAGACGAGGATGTCTGTGGGGAGACATCTGATTCGTTCGGTCTGGTGTACGCCAGACCAGGTGAAGGTGATATCGACGACGACAAGACGACGATGGAGATGGAGACGCAGGTGGTTAGTGGCCTTTCCGTGGACCACGAAGAATATGACGCCCACCACCTAGCCACGGCGGTGCATCAACCCGACGGGTGCAACGAGGCTATCATGACAGTGAGCCCGGCGAAAATGACTCGCCGTCTTAGCGCCAATGAGGTCATCGATAGTATACTGGGCGACGTGCAAGCTAAAACACTTTCGTCCACCCCGTCAAAAGACGATGCCCTTCTCAGCAACGAAACTTTCGCGGTCTGGGGCTTGGCGCTCATCCAGCCGTGCTTTCTTGTGCCCTGGTCACCGCTCACAGGAGGAAGGGGGGGGGTTGTTGGGGGTCGCCAGCGCGTCACGTCCCTGAAAAAGTGCAGGGTAGGCACTCCGGCCCTGGCTGTCCTCGCCTTACCAGCGCCCACGTCGCCGACGAAGGAGCGGGAAGAAAAACAAGCAAGTAAGCATTGACGATCGTCGTGATGTCAGCACTCCCGCGTTTCGGGATTGTCGACGCTGTCTGTGAACCCCCTTGTCGATTTATGCCCCACGTTAGATGGACAAAATTCCGCTTCACTTGTCAGTGAGGACAAATTGGCCTCTTGTTCTTTAACACATCCTCACGCTTTATTCTATGACTGCTCATCCGCTCCTCCCTCTACAAGTCCTCTGTCGTCGTCTCGACTTTCTATCTTTGGCCGACAGTTGTAGTGCAGATACCGGCGGACAACAAGACAGACCGTCCGATAAACGATTTTCGCAGCGACGAGCTTGTGTGCATTCGCACATAAAACAACGAGCGCAGTCTAGCCCGAGAACCCTGCACATGACGACGAAAGACCACATCACACCAAAGAAGAGGAATGTTTACAAATGCCGAAGTTCGGATTCCGGCGGAGTTGCAGTTACAACCAGCAGGTCAGGTCGCAGAACCGGGTTTGGTCTTGAAACTGGAACTGCGGAACCCGCCGGAAAAACGGTAATATAGATGGTCTGTTCTGAAGTCCGCCGACATCCGAACTACAAGTGCCTACGTGAGGTGGAGCACGCCCCGTTGGTCGGTGTTTGTGAACTGTGGCTGCAAGTCCGCTGGAATCTGCACATCGGCAAATGCCGACTTTCCACCTCGCGCCGACACTTGTAGTGTGGATACCGGCGGACTAGAAAACATACCCTTCGAAGTTCCGGTTTCCTCCGGTCACCGCAGTTCCAGTGTCAGGACCAAACCCGGCTGGTCCGTATCTGCTAGTTGTAGCTACAAGTCCGCCGAAATCCGAACTTCAGCATTGGTAGGCGTTCCTCTTCTTTGGCCTGATGTGGTCTTCGTCGTCATGTGCTGGGGTCTCGGGCTCGACAACGCTCGTCGTTTTATGTCCGAATGCACGCATGCTTGTGGGCTACATTATCTTTCTCATTGTCACTTTCGTCGAACTCCTCCTGGGAATGTCTCTCGGGTTATGGACGATGTTTCTCGCAGCGTGGTGCCTCCTCATCATGTCCTCTCCTCCTTTGCGGATGATCAATTCAGAATCACGGCGAAAGATATGCTCACCATTTTGCAAGCCAATGGCAAGATCAACGATGAGGTGGTGAATTTCTACATGGCCCTTTTGGGGTCGACGGCATCCGCAACACGTGCACGACCATCAGGCCTTCAAATCTTCAGCTTTAATTTTTTCTTCTTCAGTATGCTGCAACTTCGAGGACACACTGGGTGGAGAGGTGGGCTAAAAATGTTGATCTGCATCAGTTCGATATGATCTTCGTTCCGGTGCACAAACATAACGATTACTGGATCGTACTTTCCGTTAATTTGAGAGACAATGTCTTCAAAATTTTCGACTTTTTTCCTCGCGTTAAAGCCGATTCCAATTTCTACCGTAGTGTTTTCGAGTTGATTGTACAGTATTTAGAATGTCATACCTCACATAGCCGGTCGGATAGGGGTTGGAAGACTATGGTCAGAAAAACTGTTGTGGAAGGAGTTCCAAGGCAAGTTGATGGAGCTTGTTGCGGGGTGTTCATGTTGACATTTGCAACACTGTTGCAACGTGGTGATCGACCCCCTTTCAGATTCTCGAGTAAAGATTTGCCTGTTATTAGACGACAAGTGGCAACATGTCTCTTGGAAGGACGTTGTCTTTGACAGTTTTCAATGACTTGTACATAATTTTTTAAATGTATTTCATTCTATGGCAATTGTATTTGGTAACATAAGACATTATTCAACTTTCTTTCTAAGTTCAACATTGTTTTCTTCATTGGGTCTGTTTCTCGTTGTCTTTGGGATGCTCGCTGTCGATATGGCAGTGGTACTATTTTCGTGCAGTTCAACATTGTTTTCTTGTAGTTGGATGACTTTTTCATGTGTGGACTTCGTCACATGAGTCTCTTCTCGTGCAGTGGAACAATTCGTGTTGAGCTCTATGATTTCTATTGCAAGTGAAACGCACAGGGCACCGACATCGAAAGTTCGGATATCGGCGCACTACAGCCTCTTCGCCCCCCCGGCAACAATCTTATGTAGGTTGTGGTACATAAGATTGTTGTCGGGGGGGGGGCGAAGAGCCTGTACTCCGCCAGCATCTCATAAAAGGCCAATTTTTCTGGTATTCGCGACCAAGTTTCTGAAATACTAAGACCTTGAGATGTACTTAATCGTACGCGTCTATCGATTTCTTGTTGAAAATAGCCTTGATCCCATTGGTATCTAGTAGGACCAAATAATTCAATAGGAGTAGCTGCAGAACCATACCACATAGTTCCAGATACTATAAAAGCTGCAAAAAACACTGCTGCTCTCACTCTCGCTGCTCTCCCTCTCTCACTCTCGCTGCTCTCTCTCTCTCACTCTCGCTGCTCTCTCTCTCTCACTCTCGCTGCTCTCTCTCTCTCTCAGTTTTTCTCCCTCTTTCTCTCTTTCTCTCTCACATACACACACCCGCACACACACACTCACACTCTCACAGGCTGCTAATCCTATCTCCTTCCTCTTCTGTCCAAAATGAAACCCCAGTACAAATCTGTTCCCCCCTTCCCCTCGTCCAGCACAAGGCAGACTTTTGTTGCGAACTAGTTGCGTATGCCTAAATTAGAAAAAAACAACCCACAATTACCTTTCTTCATCCATCCATAGCGGAACATAACATGTCTGTCCTTCACTCCGACCTCCTCACCATCAAAAGATGCAGAAACCTCTCCCAAACTGTTGTTGAATCAGAAGATAGAAAAGCTTGTTTGGAGTGCGTCACCGAAACTGACTGTTTCCTCATTGAGAGCCGCTTGAGACAGATCACTGGAGCTCGCTGTTCCCGCCTCCAGCGGGGGAAAAATAAAAGTCGAAATGCTTAATTGGAATGTATCACT